AAAAAAAAAAAAAAAAAAAAAAAAAAAAATGAATATTCTTAAATTTTGGTTTTGGGTTAATTAGTGCTTAACTTTTTTTTTTTAAAGCAGCCATGATCTTTATACATTTCCTTAATAAGAAAGGATGGTGACTATTGACCCATGCCTGATGGTCTGTAAATAAATGCCCTGGCAAAGATTCCCATACATGCTGAGGTTGAGGGACGCATGTAAGCTCACCTGTGTTACTGGACTCCAACACTAAGTCCAAACCCAGATGAGAGTAGCCAAGATAATTAAGGCCATGACTGAGAGTGCATTGAAGTCCACAGCAGTAGTTTAACCAACTTCAGTTGACTTGGAGTAGGATCAAGTGGACTAAAACTGTAGCTTTCTAAAACACCAGAGGCCAGATTCTCTGCTGCTGTAGATGAGGATAATATCAGTGACGTTAGTGTAGTCATCCTGCCATAAACTAGCTGAGCATCTAGCCTGAGATGGGGAGTAGCAGTGCAAATAAATTGTGTCTAGTAGTTGGAGGAAAATGTCTGAACCATATGCATCTGCCTTGTTTTCCACTTGGATTTTGCATGTGTAGGGAGTTTATTGGCTGCTCTTCTTCAGAGCTGGTATTGCAAGCAGTAATCAAGCTGCCGATCTCCACTGAAATGCCAGTATCCAGGATGTGCTGTACACATGCATGGCTGTAAAAAGAAGTAGGTTGCTGGAAAATGTTCCTGCCTCCTGGAGACCAGATTCAAGCAAACTAGCATGGCCTGCCTTTTTCAGGCCTCGTGCTAAGTGGGAGGGATAGCGAGACTAGGTCTGCATTGCAGAGTCAACCTAGGCTCTTATGCTTGTTGTCTCAATCCCTTCCCAGCCAAATGGAAAAGCCTCTAGACCCAGGCTTGGAGTGCTTTCAGCTTCAGCTAACTGACCTTCCTGAAAGTCTGGGGTAAAACTCAGGCTGCCGTTTAACCTGGGCTGAAACTTGCCTTTTTGGCAGTGACCACTCCTGGCTCAGGCATTCGAATACTAATAGTTGTCTAATAAACTTCCTGCTGTTCCTCCCTCCAGTTTGACTGGAGAATAGCCTGGAGCCTTTTAGCATACGAGCTTTGGGCTCTGGTTATCGAACCCTCCCATGCAAATACAAGTCCAGTAATGGCAAAGTAAAGTAGATTGGGTTTTACTAGAGAGATGGTTATGATCAGGTGAAGATGACCTGGCTGCCCACCAGGGAAGACCTGGAGCATTTTAGCCTGATTTGCCATTTCCTTTTGTTCTCCTGTAATTTGTGCTTTGGGCCTGGGTCTGCTTGTGTGGCTGAGAGTAGGTTTAAGTGAGCACCCGGCTAAAGGCTGGAGCGATGAGGTCCTGTATCAATAGTCTTCTCAAGCAGTGCACAATTCCCTGGGCCTGTGCACACCGGCCTCTTTCCATGTTGCCTTCCCACTGGACTCCTGTGCACGGGCAGTTTGTGGACACACCTTCGTGGCCGACTCCATTGCTTTCTGCTCAGTTTAGCTCCATCAAATAGCACATGGCAGAAATCTGGCTTACCTGCCCATGCGACTGGAGCAGGGAGTATGGACCAGAGGCCCAAAAGGGCCTTGGAGTAAGGAGCAGGATGGGGTGGAGTGGACCATTGGCCAGAGCAGGATATACAATGTCTAAACCTGGAAGGTGAAGAAAGGCAGCTGTAACTCCCAGGGTACCTGCCTCTTCAGGAAGACTTTCAATTAGGTGTTCACCAGCACCGAGTACGGAGCCTGCTGTCTGTATGACAGGCTTCTGAGTAAGAGCAGCCTGACTTTTTTTATTTTATTTTTTGCATGGGAAGCCAAGATGTTGGAACTGACACCGGAAGAGACTCTGAGGGTAGAGTCAAAAGAACTGGCTCTGGAGTTGGCTGAATGGGCTAGGGGAATATCTTGGGCGCTGTTCAGTATTGTGCATGATCCAAGGTGGATTCAAAGTGAGGGAAAACATTAAACGCACAGCTAACAGCTTGCCCTTCCTCCACTTGCACTCCTCACTTAACAGGAAATGATCCAAACTGGGATTAGCAAGCCTGCGTGCATCTTTGGAACAGCGCTCTCTTGGGAGTGGTTACACTGAGAGACTCATCAACAATTACTGATATCAAAGCTTTGTCCTGGGCAGCCTCAATCGCACAATGCAGCCACTGGAACTTCTGAAAACATCTCTGGGGGTTAGCAGTACACCTTTCCTTGTCCTTCTTGTTCGCTGCAGGGCCTAGGCAAGGGGCAGGAATGGGCAGAGGGAGCCCGGGTTTGGTAGTGAGCCTCCAGTTCAGTGTCTTGATGTGGTTGGTCTCGGGGAACTTCATGCAGCCCTTGGTAAGCTCCCTGCAGTTGCTCAGGTCACTTATGGGCCCTCTCCATTCCTTTGTATTGCCACTCATTCAGCAGCCAGCAAAAGATTTTGGTCATGCACAGGCCTAGAAAAGTGCTCCTCTTCTGCTGGGCTGTCCAGCAGATCAGCATCCTCCCAGGCACCCTGGCCCGAAACACCGTTAAAATTCAGACCAGTAGCTGTCTGAGTGGAAGGACCTGGGATTAGGGTAGTTAGGTCACGTTGGAAATGATAAGGCTTTCAGACTGACTTTTGTTGTGTGGCCGTGGGCTGGCAGTCTGGCTGACGGGAGCAGGGCAGGGTGTCATGCATAACAAGTCAATAGGCGTCTCAACCTGTGGCCTTGCCACGAGGCAGAATATAAACGGGGGATTTGTTTCTATCTTCCCTGGGACAAAAAAATATATATAATAGGCTCTTTCATCACCTTGGCAGGACCTGCTGCTGCTGCAGGCTGTGTGGGGGGGGGAGGCGGGCTGGGGACCAGCTCTGTAAGAATGCACAAGTGACTTGGGCACAGGACCAGCAAACCCCACAGAGGGAAGGAGGAGCAGGGCAGGGAGAGGGGAGGGGAGGGGGAAGCCTAGCAGGAGGAGAGTGGGGTTGTACAGCATCTTGAACACAGCCAGAGGAGGGAGCAGGACTCCCTGCTGCAGGAGCTGCGACTTGCTCTGATAGCCCCAGGATGCAACCTTCCCGCTCCAGTGCCCATGGGCTCCAGTCTGTACGGTTTCATCCTGCAGCTGCTGGGCTCCAAGCTCCAAACCCTGCTGCGTGCTGCGGTTATCAAACGTTCGCCATTCACACTTCCCCTGTACAACTGGCCAAGTCCTGT